TGGCGCCGGGCGCTGGCGTCAGTGCTTGCGTTCGCGGCCAGGGGCGGGACGCCACGGACGGGACGGGCAGGGCGCAGGAAGCGCGGACGTGCAGGGCGCTGACGGGGGGCCGAAACGAGGCCGCATCTGACGCCGTCGCGCAGCTCGTCATCACGAACAGCGTGACGGACGAAAGCTGCGCGACGGGCAGCACCAAGCAGGGAGCGACGGGGGGCACCATGAACGAAGATAACGTGCAGGCCTAGGCGAACCAGGCTCTGGATACCATGTCAGAATAGTGAGCTAAGTTTAGAACCATGGCAACTAGGGTTTGGGTAGGAGGTGGAGTGTCGAGAGAGTTTAGCAAGACAAAAAGGGATTGTTCACTATAGAGCGAGCAGTACAAATAGGCAAGAATCAAGAGGGGTGCACCACCAAACAGAAAGTTGTATGACTACAGTGTTCTACACTACAGGCAGTTATAGAACAATATATAGAATTATATATTATTCTGACAATCTTGCCAACCTGGAAGAAGATCGGGTACCCACAGGTGGCTTCCGTGGTAACCGATGCTTCGCCTCGGCAGCAGACGAAGCTGACTGGGACGAGCAGAACGTAGATGAAGCCTCGGAGGAAGCCGGACCTCTCCCTTACTGCTCCGTCAACGTCCCAATGGATGACGAAAATCCTCGCGAAAGCGCCAACGCCGAAGCATTTTACCACTTCGCCGACAACGATTACGTTACACCTGCAGAAGTCAACACCAACGAAGCAGAACGCATAGGGCCCAACTTCATACCTGACCCAGAAGCAGGTGACAAAGCAGCTTATCCCGCGGACACAACTCTCCCCCGCTACACACAGAGTGGCCTCCAGATACTCGGCCTCATCACCGTGGTCCACGGCACAGAGATTCCTAAGGAGCCTGCCACAGTTCAGCAGGCTCTGGGGGGGGAGCATAGGGAAAAATGGCGTGAAGCCATTGACAAGGAACTGAAAGCACTGGAGGAACGCAACACCTGGAAAGTCGTCCCTATCGGCGTGGCATGAAACAAGACAGTACTCACCGGGAAGTGGGTCTTCCGTGTGAAGACAAAGGCAGACGGCACTATCGACAAGTTTAAGGCGCGCTGGGTCGTACGCGGCTTCGACCAAGAGCACGGACGCGACTTCACCGAGACATTCGCCCCGGTCAGCCGACACACCTCACTACGAATTCTCCTCGCGATCGCCGCCATGAAGAAAAAGAAACTACGGCAAATCGACGTCGCCAACGCATTCCTCTACGCACCTGTTGACGCCGAAATCTTCGTTGAACTCCCACACGGCTCCCACGGAGAACCTAACCAAGTCTGTCAGCTGCAAAAATCCTTGTACGGCATCAAACAAGCTCCAAGGCTGTGGCAGCAGTATCTGCACGCAAGACTTATTCGCATTGGATTCCGCCAACTACCTCTGTCAGAATGTTATAATTGTCTAGCCTGCAGTGGGGTACTCCATAGTGAGTACAGCCCAATTAGGGTTTGCTATATGTGTCCAACTGCTTGCTAGTGAACATCCTCCTTTCTTCATTCTTTCTTTCTACTACTACTTCTGACATGCTATCAGAGCAGGTCGATCCCCTTGGGTCGATCCTGTGGGTGGGCCCACCACCTCACTGCTTCCGCTGCTACTGCTACTCTGTGTGTTGCACGCCCCGTGGCGTGCGACGGATTTTTCATCCCGCCGCGCGCTCGGAGCGTGCGGCGGTTTTCTGCCCGCCGTGCGCCCCGAGGCGCGCGGCGGTTTTCTGCCCGCCGTGCGCCCCGAGGCGCGCGGCGGCTTTCTGCCCCGTCACTCCGCGCGTCGCTCCCGGGAGGCGCTGCGACGGGCGACGGGGACCCGCGCGTCGCCCCCCGTCGCCCGTCGCGGCCTGCGCGACCTGCGTAGGGCCCGCGCGCGGCCCGTACAGCCTGCGCGCGGCCCGTACGGGCTGCGCCAGGCCCGCGCGCGGCCTGTACGGGCTGCGCCAGGCCAGCGCGCGGCCCGTACGGGCAGCGCCAGGCCCGCGCGCGGCCCGTACGGGCTGCGCCAGGCCAGGGCGCGCCTCGGGCCGCCCGCACGCGGTTCGTACGGGCTACGCCAGGCCCGTGGGCGCCCTGTTTCCTCTTCCCCTGCGCTGCCCGCTGTCCCCCGTGCTTCTGACGGCGCCCCACCCCTGCTGCTGCCCGTTCTCCTGAATTAGGGTTTGGGGGTGGGGGGTATGGGGGTGCAGTTTCTGTGCGTCGTCCCCTGCTCCTCCTCCTCCTCCGTCTCCCAGTGCTGCAGCTGCCGCTGAGGGGGGTGGGTGTGTGGGAGCCGAAGGAGTGGTACTAGGGGGGTGACGTGCAAGTGGAGTTAGGAGTGAAGCAGTGGGTGTGTGGGGGGTGTGTGGGACAGTTGGAGGAGGTTGAGCGGAGGCTGCTGTCTTGTCGTCCGCAGCACCTGTAGTCCGGGGCGCACTGTCCTGGAAGCCCAGAGAGTCTGCTGCGCCTGTCGCCCGAGGGTCCGTTGCTCCTGTAGCTCATCGTAGCCCGTGAGCCAGTTACTCCAGTAGTCCGGGGCGCACTGTCCCGGTAGCCACTGTGCCAGCAGCTCCTGTTGCCCGTGTGTCTGCAGCTTCAGCCGCCGTCTCTCATCTTCTCTCCTCTCACAGTCCCTCCTCCTCCTCACTTGCCCGCTGTGATTACCTCTAGCTTTGCTTATAATTGTGAACTATTACTATGCTTGCTTGTTGTGCTGATTACACCCCACTTTGGCTATGGGGGTGTGTCAGAATGTTATAATTGTCTAGCCTGCAGTGGGGTACTCCATAGTGAGTACAGCCCAATTAGGGTTTGCTATATGTGTCCAACTGCTTGCTAGTGAACATCCTCCTTTCTTCATTCTTTCTTTCTACTACTACTTCTGACAACCTCACGACCAGGGCATGTATTGGCTCACAAAGGGCACCGACTACATCCTACTGATCGTCTACGTGGACGATTTACTCTACATCGGCTCGACCAACAACGTCACCACCTGGTTCGAAGGGGAACTATAGAAGGATCTCACGCTCACAGTCTCGTCCACTGTCACGCAGTATCTCGGCCTCAACATCCAGGAAGAAGAAGACGCGATCTACCTCAACGCCGCAAAATACGCCGACAACATCGCCAAACGCTTCGCACTCACACCAACCACCATCTCTACACCATACCGCTACACGGCAGGAAATAACAATGAAGGATCCGCTACACTAAAGCCCGTCGGCATACGCGACTACCAGAGAAAGCTGGGATGCCTCCTCTTCGCAGCTGTCACTTGCCGTCCGGACCTATCGTACTCCGCAAGTCAGCTCGCGACCTACCTCAAGAAACCTGAAGCAGAACACATGGCGGAACTCGACCGTGCTCTCCACTACCTCGTCAGCACTTCAACCGTCGGTCTAACCTACCACAAGAACGGGACTACGACACCTAAACTAATCGGCTACGTCGACGCCGATCACGCCGGCGACTCCGACAACAGACGCTCACGCACCGGCTACATCTATCGCTTCGAGCCTATCGGACCCATCTCTTGGCAGTCGAGCAAACAGGAATTAATCGCTCTCTCTTCAGCTGAAGCTGAATACATCGCACTCTGCTCAGCCACCAAGGAAGGACTGTACCTTCGCGAACTTCTGGAGGAGGCGAAGCTGGCTCAGTTACCCAGCTTCTCCTTGTTCTGCGACAACCAGTCGGCAATTCGCATAGCCAACAAAAACGGATTCGCGAACAGGACGAAGCATATCGCCCTGCGATATTTCTTCGTAAAGGACGAGATCGAGAAGGGGAGACTTGAGCTGTCTTACTGTCCCACGTCCGAGATGGCAGCTGATTACTTGACCAAGAAGCTCGGGAAGCAGAAGTTCGAGTACTGCATGCTGCTGACTGGACAAAGCCACGTCACTAGCAGCGACACTCCAGAAGCGAAGGGGAGTGTTGGAAACAATTGATTTAGCGCCTGTGTCGTGTCGAAACACCAAGTCAGAAGCGAAGCAAAACATATCGAAGCATTAGCGAGTCAACCCTCGGAGGTTGAACAACTGCTGGAGGTTATGCGAAAGTCAAAGGTCAGCCACTTTTGACCTGACAAATACAGCGCGACAGCAAGGAAAAACAACTGACTCACTATTGAGTAGTTGCCCGAGTCGTCACTGTATCGAACCGCAACAGCAACAGCAAAACGGTTATTAACTGTATTTTTTCGTATTCCTTGTACTCTTATAAAAGCTTGTATCCCTTTGTTTTAATCAATCTACTTTGCCCTCACATACTAGCGCAAGGTGGTTCACAAAGTTCTCATTTAACGCTTCCGCTATTACATTGTCCTACTTAGAATTTAGTCCTGCAAAGATCCTAAGGGCTTTTCTCAGCCCAACAGTTTACACCATAGTGCGCAGCTAGTACGGTACCCATCATAGTATACCCACCACCCCTCTTACGGCATATTTATACTGCACCAACCTTAGTGCGTGTGCAGCTAGTGACATGTCATGTACCAGGGTATATATGGCTTTAATATGTGGAGTCAAAGGGGAGGTGAAGCAGTGGGCTGGTTGGCTGGCTGATAAAGTGCATATGTGAGCGACAGTCAGTGAGATATTTCCATTCAGGTTGGTGGAATGGAATGGAGCAAAAAACTGCCTTTACGGTACAGTACTTGCTCTTGCAAGAGTTGCTTATGGTGGTGATTGGTGAATGTACAATTTTCCAGGATTGATATTTTAGTAACGTGAGCAATGTCCTTGAATCCAGCTTGCCAGGGAGGACAGAAAGCCCCCCCAGACACCCACGTTGCTGCACTACTAAACTAACCGGCTCACAGCAGCTACTGCCCCTGTGATGAAAATACATATAGGATGTCCCCACAGATTTATGCATACCGTATCCTTGGTTGGCCCCATGACAGGAAACAGCCACTGGTGAGTCCAAAACCAAAAGTTCCCAAACACACACCACAGTCGCAGCAGCACATCACTGTAGAGAGTCCAGAAATTCATCATCATCCCCTTCTGTATTGCTGGTACCGGTACCTTCCTCCTGGGAAACAACCCTCTTGCTGCCACCACTCACTCCAACAGTCCCCATCTCCTGCCCTTCCTCCTCCTTGCCGTTCACCAGTTCCCTCCCATGCTCCTCTTGCCTGCCTCCTAGCGCCTCAACAGCCCCACCTGTCTTCTCCTCCTCACCTGCCACTTGTTGCCCTGCTTCTACCAATAAGCTTTGCACTGAAGCGTGTGGCTGAGAGGGCACCGTAAGGGGAGAGGAGCTGACTGGCACAGAATGGTCAGTGGTACTGGTAATGGTGGTGGTTTCAGCTGAAGCATTGTGATTGCCAGAGATAGAGCCACCGCCGCTGTTACTGCCGCTGCCACTGGCACCAACAGAAGCCACGCCAGCACTAACAGCAGCACCGGCAACCCATGCCGACACAGCACCAGCACGAGCGGCACGGGCAGCTCCCGTTGCTAGAGCAGCAGGAGCAGGAGACGGGGCGTCTATAGCAGCTGCACCGTATATCGAAGATGCAGCAGAGGCATATGCTGAGGAGTGAACAGAGCCGTAAGCCGAGGAGTAAGAGATAGATGACGTGGCAGAGGCGGAGGAGTGAGAGGCGGACTGGGGGGAGGAGTGGGCGGAGGTGGAGGGATGGGCGGGAGCGGCGCGGAGGCGTGCCTGCAGATGCCGCACCTCCTCCTCTGCTCGCTCCAGCTGCTGCTGCCGGCCCCGCAGCTCACTTGTGTATAGGTCAAACACACCTGTGCGGTGGGGAGAATAGATATGGGGGCACAAGAAAGGTGAGCCGGATGTATAAATGCAATCAAGGGCCGCTTTCCCAGCCGCTGCTGCTGCCGGCCCCGCAGCTCACTTGTGTACAGGTCAAACACGCCTGGGTGATGGGGAGGAGGGATATGGGGTTGATGGAGGTGAGACAGACGTACATGAGTTGAGCCAAAGGTTGCTTCCAAGACACAACGCTGCTACCGGACATGGAGTGGAGCTCATGTGTGCACACAGGTCAAACGCACCTGCGAGTCGGGGAGAAGGGGAGGGCGGTGGTAGAGGAGTGACTGGGAACAGAAGCAACTACAGAAGTAGCATGCATGGTGCTGGGAGGATGTTCTCCTGCCCTCGTCTGACCTGTAGTTCACTCCAATCCTCCACTCCAAAACGCTCCCCTCCTTTCCTTCGCTTCCCCTTCCCCTCTCCCTCGCCTCCCCTCCCCCCCCATTCACCTGAGGTGGCCTCCATGTCGCGTTGCGCCTGTGCCAGTGCGTCCTGCATGCGCCGTCGCTCCTCCTCGCTCTCCCGCCTCCCCGCGCGCGCCTCTCTCGCCGCCTCCACCGCCGCGTCCAGCTCCCCCTGCAGCCCCGCCACGCGCCGGTTCAGCGCCTGTGGGGTGGGCGCAAGGGGGAGAGGGGTTGCGTGGGGAAACACGGGGAGGAGAGGGAGGGGGAAGGGTAACAGCTGAGTGGACTCTGAGGCCGTTCATCTCCCCCTGCAGCCCCGCGCCGGTTCAGCGCCTGTGCGGGGCGCAGGGGGTAGAGGGGGGCCGTAGGGAGTAGGGGGGGGAGGGGAGGGGGAAGGGGAACGCTTGAATCGACTCCAAGGTCGTCCAGCCCCCCCACGCGCCGATTCAGCGCCTTTGGGAGTGGGTACAGGGAGGCGGGCGGGGATTTAGTATCGGAGAACGGCCGAAGTGGGGTCAACGGAACGACCCAGTGACATTTTCATATATTTCAACGCAAAAGCGATTCGGCCGAAGCGAGTCACTCACATGCAGCTGCCGTTGCCCGTCGTACACACTCCGCGCCGATCGCATCGTGTTGGCGTCTAGAAACAGCGTATCTGGACCCAGCAGCAGCTGCTCCAGCGCTCCCACCAAGCTCTCCGCGTCGCGAAGCCCCTGAACAGCTTCCCTCCATCGTTCCACGTCATCGCCGCCGTTATCTGCGACGGAAACCGTGCCAGAACCAGTCTTGGCGCTTCCAGCGATCCCCCGCGCCGCCAGACCAGGAGATCCTCCCGCGAGGTGAGCTCCTTGTGTTGCCAAACCTACGGGTTGTTGTGCCGAGGCAGATTCCGAGCCTGGCCCGGAGGCCAGGGCGCGAGCCGAACCTGAACCAGGACCGCGGCCTACACCGTATAACTCACGAACTAACGGCTGGGGTGGATTAACGGGAGCGGAGTCGCGAGATGAGGAGGAGGCGAGTGGGTGATATGGCGCAGAGGACATGTTGGGAGCTGACGTGGCGTTGCTGCAAGCAGATTGGGTAGGATCGGATGGGAAGGATAAGGTATCGAAACGGGAACCACGGCGACCGTGAACCGCATGTCGCTGTGATTCTATTCTAAGACAGGCCTCCTCCAGTCATATGGATGTTACACGGTTTTGTATGATGCGATATGCAAGGGCGCCCGACATGACAGCGCAGCGGATGGTTTGATGGTTTCTGCTGACAATTCGTCGCCTGGAAAATGGTTGCTAACGAATGACTTCTCTGCATCCTACACGTACGCGTTTAGAGGCATGCTGTACACTGCATTGTTCGCAATCTGCTCCCATTCAGTGCTTTCGTGCTTGACACTGACCGAAACGAAGAAATGAACCGGGCGGATACCATCGCACTCCGTGTAGATTTCAACAGAAACTTGGTTCGGCCCCAATTACCGAATCCCAGACCTCTTCCAAACAGATATTTATTGGTTGGAATGACTCCATGAAACCGCAAAACTTTGTTCGGTTCGGGCACCGACATGAATTGAACCTCACAACCCTCCATTTCACGAAAATCCCCACCGGGAATGCAGCGGGACGTTGTACACACCTTTCATGCCGTTCCCTGTCGCCATGATCAGCTGTTGTCCCACATGCACTATCATAAGCACCATCCCTCGTGCATGCGCCTTCAACTCCACCCGTGCTCTCCTTGGCTTTGGGAGGTGGAAGGATGTGCCTCCCTGCCTACGCCCGCCTTTGTCAAACGGGCTTTCTGTCTAACTAGACCAATCCGAACTCGGATGAACTGGTTTCCTCGAAAAGGGATACACGTGGACGTACCGGCAGGATTTTGGACTCCGAGGTTGTGGGCCGCTTTGCTAGAGATCATGTTGGTGACCCTTCCTCCCAGGCTTGCGCTGCGCCTCGGAATGGCGTACCATGCTTGTGTACTTGCCTCAAACTTGGGACGCTGAATTTCTTGCCCGTTAGTTTTTTTTGGATTTCCTTCTGAAGATCGCAATTCTCATAAGTTCTCGTTGCGTTTGGTGATTACAAGAGTCATCTCTATTAGTCACATCGACGAGGAAAAGAATGGCAGGAGCCGACCTTTGGCTATGGGAGGAGTCCTCTAATCTTTCGGAGGTTATTCGCTGCCTTCGTCCGCTCCCAAGTGACAAGGAACGGCAACGGACAGTCGTTGGGAAGGTCGCGACGGCTCTCCGAGAAAGCCAGGAGCTAAGGGAGAGCCTGAGGATAGCAGAAATCGTTTCTGCTGGCTCTCATGGTCGAGGAACCGACATAAGGAACAATTTGGAAGTCGACCTGGTCGTCATCTGCAACAGGTTCGCTGTCGACGCTTATGATAACATGCTGGAGGTTAGTACGGGTGATGGATGTCACATCACAAAGAAAACGTTGGTGGATGTGGCTGAGTCGTCTTGTGCTTTTGTCTTTGCAGAATCTCGCAGCGTTTGCTCTTGCGAACCTGGATACGGAGTACGTTTATGCAGGAAAGCTGCGCATAATGCTCAAGATAGACGGAATCATTGTTGATCTGTTGATTGCCGGCATTATGGACAGAGAGAGGCTGACGCGAATGCATTTCATGACCCCGAGGAATCGAAAGAAGTGGGGTGCTTCTTGCTCCAAGCTTCAGCTCGAGTTTATGTGGAAGAAGATCGGCTCAACAAGCGTTCTTAGGTAGGATTTAATGTAAGGTTGTTGTTTCTGGTTTGTGAAGGTGAGTTCACACTCAGTAGCTCTGTCATTGCAGGGATGGAATTGTCCTCGTGAAGCATTGGAAGCAGACTAGAAAAGCAGTTAACGATGTTTTTAAGTGGCCAAGCTCGTGGCTGCTTGAGCTCTTGGTCACCTATGCTATGGATCGGTCGTGGTCCCATGGCCCAGTTTGCAGCCAGCCTGAACTGTTCATTCCGGAGCCTTTGAATGGGGTAGGTCGGTTTCTTTCGACTATGCAGCTAATCTGTCATGTGCAGTGTCGGCAAGTTCCGGTTGTTTGGATGCAAGAATCGACAGGGGGGTGCTACGAAGGTGGGCATGCATGACAATTGAACATGCCTTCAGATTTCTTAAGATTCGCTAACCTACCTTGCTGTGCATGCAGAAAGGGACGTTAGAGCACTGTTGGACTATGCGGAACGACAGGATCAGCCTGTAGTAGCCGACCCTGTGGATGCCACAAACAATGTGGCAGCCATTCTCTCGGTTGCAGACTGGAGCGAGCTTGCTCAAGAAGCCCGTTTGATGATTCAACATGCTGCGTCACAGCAGCAGCTGTATAGCGAATTGATGGCTCCCCAGGGAGTTCGTGCACCAGAGGTGGATCAGCTGAATCCCTGTAGTGTTCTGAACGAACTCTTCCAGAGGCTGGGCATGGAAACCCCGATATATGACAGAGAAATCCAGCCAGCTGTTCTTCCACCGTGAGTATATGGTAATTTGGTATCTGTATGGGATAAAGTACCATCATTGGTTTGTGCAGTTAGTCATTACTGTGTGTGCGTTTGTGCATGTTTTTTCCTCCATGGCCCTCCATTCGCAGATTCATTTCAACGGTGATGGGGCAACTTCCATGTCAGTGCATTATCGAGGCTTATAGCGACGAGAGGTCCACAAAAAAGGCTGCTAAGCGTTCAGCTGCTGAGAAAGCAATTACAATGATCAATGAACATATTTGTCAGTTTATTTACTAAGGGGGATACTGCATAACAATGCTTGCACATGCAAAGTTGGAGAATATGCATGGACACTCTATAAGCCCCAGAAGTCTTTCCATAAGATACCATACAGGAAATTTTGTGCTTTTAAAACTCTTCAACTCTGCCGTAGCAGTACCCCCCTTAGTTTCAACCTCTTATCGAGCTATCCGAGAAGTGTGCTGCTTTTTGCTGTATGTGGTCCTGAATTGCGTGGCGCCAACGGTGACTGACGTAACCCGTCACATCCAACGTATCGCCCGTCACGCGTCGTAACATCACCTGATGGGTTTTGCACCAATCGCATGCGCACACTGCCTTTGGTTTGTGGAGACATCTTGGTGCTGCCCAGACTTGGTGCCACATCAGCTCGAGGGTTTGACACACCCCTCCACCCCCACTAGCCCCGCGGGATGGATGTGAAATGGTATTGTTCTGTGTGCATGACATCCATCCATACCTCGTGCTGCCGCTGCGCGACGACTTGTGCAACACGCTACCCCTCCTTCGCCTCATTCTGCTTTTCCTTCCACACCACACCCTCCCTGGTACCTGTTCCTTGCGTCTCATTCTATCAGTGGTTTTCGTTTTGGAGCTTCTGGGAAGTCAGGGGCGGAAAGCAGGGCGCGGGAGTCTAGGGTGCTTAGGTACTCTGAATATTGGTTTTCCGTTGAGGTTTCGCTTCCCCGCTTGTGAATATGGCCGCATCAGACAAACGTCCTTTCAAGAAGCAGCACTCGCTAGGTACCGTATTTGTGTGGTTTGTCAGTATAATTTTGCGATTGAAGCTGTGGCGCCTGCGCCTGTTATCGCGCCTTACTTACAAGACGTTTATCCCTTCGATATCTGCGTTTTTGTTTTGCAGAGAAGAGAAAATCGGAGGCTGAAAGAATTCGGGAGAAATATCCCGATAGAATTCCTGTGCGTTTCCACCCTTTGTCGGTCAGTTGTTCTTCTCCTCCTCGCTGGTTGCTTATTGTGTCTCTACGCTCAACACTTTCAGGTGATTGTGGAGAAGGCAAGGAGGAGCAAGGCTCCTGACATCGATAAGAAGAAGTGAGCTCCGTACTCAATATGGCGTACCATTTTGTATATCGTTCTTTCTGTTCGTCATCCTCTCGTTTTGCTTCTGTATTTGCAGGTATCTGGTGCCGTCGGACTTGTCGGTTAGCCAGTTCATGACTGTTATTAGGAGGAGGATAAAGCTAGAGGCGGAGCAGGCGATTTTCCTGTTTGTTCACAACACAATTCCACCATCGGGTATGATAGGTTATATCGTTTTTCTTTTGTCGTCACTTGTGGCATGTTTTTACTCACATTTTCTTATTTTCGATGCAGCTGCGCTTATGTCATCTATCTATGATGACCATAAGGACGAAGATGGGTTTCTCTACATAGTTTACAATGGGGAAAGTACGTTCGGCTAGGTGCTGAAATGTAGCATGTACATACGTAGTTTTTTTCTGGGTGCTGGGTGTATCCTGCGTGGGAGGCGTGTAATCTGGTGCTTGCATCCAAGTTTGATACGGATACTTGAGGGTGATCTGTACATACTAGTTGCAGCTTATTTCGAGTGAAACAAACAGCCCAGTTGAACTCACTCTTGCGCTGTGCAACAGTAGCAATTTCAGTGCATAGGCTTGTACCTGAGTTGGTGCATAACAATCTGAGCTGGTACTTGAATAGAATTGAATCTGTCTGATTCTTGGGGTTTCATTCCAATATAGTCTAGACTAGTAATGTGATTTTAGCATCCTGATCTGTAAGTGAAATTGGATGGCCAGAGTTGCATGCTCACTGTAGGACACATATGCATGCTCTTCATGAAAACATACGATATCTTTGCTCTGTACATACCGTACATGGTGTGCATAAATGATGGTCCTAAAAAATCCACAGCAGGGAGAGAAATATGTCCTAGTGTGCATCCAAAATGGCTAGATCAGGGCTCGGGAACATACGGCCCGCAACGATGTTCCTGATGGGCATTAGTGCGAGAATGAGTAGAGGAAAGAAAATTCCTGCAACACCAGAAAGCACCAACGTCACACATGGGAGGGCAGCAATGCGATAGTTTCATGTCAGTGCACGCATGTACAGTGGGAAAATGTTGCGCCATGGATGCAAACAGTGGTTCCACAATAGTAGAACATCAGTGGGTGTGCATAAGAGTGTCAAGTGTACAGTCAAGTATACAACTATGATGAAGAATATGCAACCATGCATGAAGAACATGTGGCCAGGCACAACCATTCTACCCCACACCCACAAACCACAACACACTACACGTAATATCACACAACAAGGCACACCACACGGTACACCACACGGTACACCACACACTACAGATCTCCTCACCCAGTTTGCTGTGCTTCAGCTGCCAGAGCGCCACGAGGCACGCGCCCTGAAGGGCCGTGAACCCATATACGGAGGACCTGGCCACTCCTCGGATGTACGGGTAGTCGGGGAAGCGCGACGGGTCTGTGAGGAGCAGCTTCAGCCTATGTGGAGGATGGGAGAGGGAGGACGGCGTTGGGAAAAAGCTGGGGATGAAAGGGTGCATGTGGCACACTCTACAGTCAAACATGAAAGTCCATTTTGAGGATGGGACAAGGGAGAGAGGCGTTGGGCCGTTGGGGCGGAGAGGAGGGAATTGGAGGAGGGAATTGGATAGATATTGAGTTTGAATTAAAAGTTCATGACGAAAAATGGGAGGGAGACGAGAGGGAGGGAGGGTGGAGGGAGAGAGGCAGGGAGGGAGGGACGGAGGCAGGCAGGCAGGGAGGGAGGGGGACAGGGAGGGAGAGAGGGAGGGAGGGAGGGAGGGAGGGAGGGAGGGAGGGAGGGAGGGAGGGAGGGAGGGAGGGAGGGAGGGAGGGAGGGAGGGAGGGAGGGACGGACGGACGGACGGACGGAGGGAGGGACGGAGGGAGGGAGGGGGACAGGGAGGGAGGGAGGTAGGGAGGGAGGTAGGCAAGGGAGGAGGTAGGTTGGGAAAGAAGGGAGGGAGGAATGGTGGGAAATAGATGCAGCCTACACAGAGGTGAGCAGTGAGATAAGTGTTAGAGAGGCATGTAGAGGGCGGTGGGGGGGCGGGGAGAGCAGGAGAGAGGGGCGACGGGCGAGATAGAGCATATCAGTGTAGCTGGGGATATTGGGGAGAGAAGGAGAAGGGAGAGGATGGTAGGGGAGGAGAGGGGAGGAGAGAAGGACGGGAAAAGGAGAAGAGGAAAAGAAGAGAGAAGAGAGGGAGCACCTGTCAACGAGTTGGTTGCCAGCAAGGCTTGAAACTCCCATGTAAAGGAAAAGACCCTCTGTCACCTGGAGAGAGAGAGGGGAGAAAGGCGGGGGGAGGGGGTTAGTGGGAGGAGGAGGAGGTGGGTAGAGGGCAGAGGCAGGAACAGCGGATCCAACACATGCTTGCAGGAACAGCGGATCCAACACATGCTTGCAGGAACAGCGGATCCAACACATGCTTGCAGGAACAGCGGATCCAACACATGCTTGCAGGAACAGCGGATCCAACACATGCTTGCAGGAACAGCGGATCCAACACATGCTTGCAGGAACAGCGGATCCAACACATGCTTGCAGGAACAGCGGATCCAACACATGCTTTGTTTGAGTTTACTGAACTCCTTTGAGTCGACTCAGATCATTGTGAGTGCAATTAACACGTGAGTGAAGCATCATATACAACCACTTCGCTTATTTTTCTTCTCTCTTGCATTGGATACCAGGTCACACTTCAATGCTATCCAGTGAAAGGAGAAAAGTTTTTCACAGAACGAAAATAAGATATTCGTAAGCAAAATATCAGTGGGAAGAGTAGGAAGCAAGGTGAAATAGAGGAGATGCAGGGATTGCTTACGGAAACTGGGATCCGTGAGAGAAGAGGAAGCAGGAGGAGCGACGCTCCAATGCACACCTGCAGCCCACACACAGCGATTAGATACACAAAGGAGATGCATAAAATTAGGGTCAAAATGGGGAGGAATTGAACGAGTGGAAAGCACGGGAAGAGCAGGAAGAGTGCTACAACTGGTGACTAGGTAGAATGTGGAGAAGGCATGTGGGACTGTTAAGAAGGCAAGGAAGGCTAATTAAAGCTGGGGTCATTGAGGTTCGGCTTGCTCAGGTTCGGCTCTCTAAGGTTCGGCACACTTAGGTTCAACTCACTCAGGTTCGGCCCACTTAGGTTCGGCTCATACGGCTCCCGCATTGTGGTACCGATAAGAATGCAGGAGTTGCATTACTCACATGAATCGCCACTCCTGTGACCCGATTCTCACGAACCCTCTGCTGCGGAACAGCAGAAGCAGCGGCAGGAGAAGAAGGAGATGAAGCAGCAGCGGCAGCCGCAGGTTGGGTGAAGGAGAGGGAGCGGACGTGGGAGAGAGAGGGCACGGTGGAGGCCACCATCCATGGCAGGCCTGCTGCTGCACTCAGCAGCATGATGACTGGGGGAGGGGAAAGGGGGAGAGGGGAGGGGGGAGAGTGGGTGGGGGAGGGGGAAGTGAGTAGGGGAAAAGGAGGTTACGAAAGGGGAAGCGAGAGGGTACAGAAGGGAGACAAAGGGCCCACCACAGCAAGCCGGCAACGCCGTACCACTCACTAACTCTCTCACTCATTCACTCACTCTCTCACTCTCAAATGGTTCATTGTATTTATTCAGCAGGGGTACAGACATGCAGTTTGATTCAAGATAACCTTAGTCCCTCTGGCCCTTTGACCCATCCCTCTGTCCTCCCCCCCCCCCTTAGTGACCCTCTACCTCTCTCACTCTCACTCTCTCGCTCCCTCACTTTCTCACTCCCCTGCCAGCACAGCCAGATCGAGGTGGTACCCACTGCCCTTCACCAGCCCATTCCCCTGCGCATCCACAAGCCGAGTGGTTGAGGGAGAGAGACAGACGGCCACGGTCTCTCTCACTCACTCGAATGGGCCACGGTCTCTCCCTCACTCACTCACCTGCCAGCACAGCCAGGTCGAGGTGGTACCCACTGCCCTTGACCAGCCCATTCGCCGGCGCATCCACAAGCCTCGTGGTGATATTCTGATCCAGAAATACCAGCAGCGTGAGCAGCGCCGCAGGCACCGCACACAGAAGCATGGCCCATGGGGGGAGGGAGCCTAGGATCGGCACAAGCCATGGGCGGCCGCTGGTTGTGACGATGTGCGCGGGTGCGGAGAGTGTTGGGAGGGTGATGGAGGGGAGGAGGAGCGTGGGGAGGGTGGACATGAGGAGGATGGAGAGCGGGGCGGCGAAGTCTGAAAGGGCGGTGCGGATGGGTTGGGTGAGGTATGAGGAGTCGCGGAACTGGTTTGGGTGGGGTGGGGTGGGGTGCGGAGGGGGTTGGGGGAGGTAGAAGAGTGTAAAAAAGAGTGCGGAGGAGATATAAAAAAAGGGTGTTGAAGAAAAGCATGTTAAAGAGACGAGTTACATCGAGTGTCATTGTCAGAAGGGAAAGCCGCCGTACCGAGAGGAAGGAGGTGAGTCGCCAGGTGGCCACAGCCACGAGCATGGAGAGCAGAGCCACACTAGACATCATCATCCCCCCTCCCACCATGCTGCTGCTAGCTGTCATCGCTGTTGCTGCGCCTGCAGCCGTAGCTGCTGCTGCAGCGGCTGCGAAATTCGCTGCGAGTTTCTGGTAAAGGAGGGGGAAAGGGCGGGGGTGGGGAAGAGTCGCAGGTGCGGCTGTGAAGCTGGAAGCATTGGAGACAAGCTGGTCAACTGGTACAACAATTCCTGGCACTCACTCACACCCTCCTTCCCTCTCCCTACTCACACACTCCTTCCCTCTCCCTACTCACACACTCCTTCCCTCTCCCTACTCACACACTCCTTCCCTCTCCCTACTCACACCCTCCTTCCCTCTCCCTACTCACACACTCCTTCCCTCTCCCTACTCACACACTCCTTCCCTCTCCCTACTCACACACTCCTACCCTCTCCCTACTCACACACTCCTTCCCTCTCCCTACTCACACACTCCTTCCCTCTCCCTACTCACACACTCGTTCCCTCTCCCTACGCACACACTCCTTCCCTCTCCCTACTCACACACTCCTTCCCTGTCCCTACTCACACACTCCTTCCCTGTCCCTACTCACACACTCCTTCCCTGTCCCTACTCACACACTCCTTCCCTGTCCCTACGCACACACTCCTTCCCTGTCCCTACTCACACACTCCTTCCCTGTCCCTACTCACACACTCCTTCCCTGTCCCTACTCACACACTCCTTCCCTCTCCCTACTCACACACTCCTTCCCTCTCCCTACTCACACACTCCTTCCCTCTCCCTACTCACACACTCCTTCCCTCTCCCTACTCACACACTCCTTCCCTCTCCCTACTCACACACTCCTTCCCTCTCCCTACTCACACACTCCTTCCCTGTCCCTACTCACACACTCCTTCCCTCTCCCTACTCACACACTCCTTCCCTCTCCCTACTCACACACTCCTTCCCTGTCCCTACTCACACACTCCTTCCCTGTCCCTACTCACACACTCCTTCCCTCTCCCTACTCACACACTCCTTCCCTCTCCCTACTCACACACTCCTTCCCTCTCCCTACTCACACACTCCTTCCCTCTCCCTACTCACACACTCCTTCCCTCTCCCTACTCACACACTCCTTCCCTCTCCCTACTCACACACTCCTTCCCTCTCCCTACTCACACACTCCTTCCCTCTCCCTACTCACACACTCCTTCCCTCTCCCTACTCACACACTCCTTCCCTCTCCCTACTCACACACTCCTTCCCTCTCCCTACTCACACACTCCTTCCCTCTCCCTACTCACACACTCCTTCCCTCTCCCTACTCACACACTCCTTCCCTCTCCCTACTCACACACTCCTTCCCTCTCCCTACTCACACACTCGTTCCCTCTCCCTACGCACACACTCCTTCCCTCTCCCTACGCACACACTCCTTCCCTCTCCCTACTCACACACTCCTTCCCTGTCCCTACTCACACACTCCTTCCCTGTCCCTACTCACACACTCCTTCCCTGTCCCTACTCACACACTCCTTCCCTGTCCCTACGCACACACTCCTTCCCTGTCCCTACTCACACACTCCTTCCCTGTCCCTACTCACACACTCCTTCCCTGTCCCTACTCACACACTCCTTCCCTCTCCCTACTCACACACTCCTTCCCTCTCCCTACTCACACACTCCTTCCCTCTCCCTACTCACACACTCCTTCCCTCTCCCTACTCACACACTCCTTCCCTCTCCCTACTCACACACTCCTTCCCTGTCCCTACTCACACACTCCTTCCCTGTCCCTACTCACACACTCCTTCCCTCTCCCTACTCACACACTCCTTCCCTGTCCCTACTCACACACTCCTTCCCTGTCCCTACTCACACACTCCTTCCCTCTCCCTACTCACACACTCCTTCCCTCTCCCTACTCACACACTCCTTCCCTCTCCCTACTCACACACTCCTTCCCTCTCCCTACTCACACACTCCTTCCCTCTCCCTACTCACACACTCCTTCCCTCTCCCTACTCACACACTCCTTCCCTCTCCCTACTCACACACTCCTTCCCTCTCCCTACTCACACACTCCTTCCCTCTCCCTACTCACACACTCCTTCCCTCTCCCTACTCACACACTCCTTCCCTCTCCCTACTCACACACTCCTTCCCTCTCCCTACTCACACACTCCTTCCCTGTCCCTACTCACACACTCCTTCCCTGTCCCTACTCACACACTCCTTCCCTGTCCCTACTCACACACTCCTTCCCTGTCCCTACTCACACACTCCTTCCCTGTCCCTACTCACACACTCCTTCCCTGTCCCTACTCACACACTCCTTCCCTGTCCCTACTCACACACTCCTTCCCTGTCCCTACTCACACACTCCTTCCCTGTCCCTACTCACACACTCCTTCCCTGTCCCTACTCACACACTCCTTCCCTGTCCCTACTCACACACTCCTTCCCTCTCCCTACTCACACACTCCTTCCCTCTCCCTACTCACACACTCCTTCCCTCTCCCTACTCACACACTCCTTCCCTGTCCCTACTCACACACTCCTTCCCTGTCCCTACTCACACACTCCTTCCCTCTCCCTACTCACACACTCCTTCCCTCTCCCTACTCACACACTCCTTCCCTCTCCCTACTCACACACTCCTTCCCTCTCCCTACTCACACACTACTTCCCTCTCCCTACTCACACACTCCTTCCCTCTCCCTACTCACACACTCCTTCCCTCTCCCTACTCACACACTCCTTCCCTCTCCCTACTCACACACTCCTTCCCTCTCCCTACTCACACACTCCTTCCCTCTCCCTACTCACACACTCCTTCCCTCTCCCTACTCACACACTCCTTCCCTCTCCCTAATCACACACTCCTTCCCTCTCCCTACTCACACACTCCTTCCCTCTCCCTACTCACACACTCCTTCCCTCTCCCTACTCACACACTCCTTCCCTCTCCCTACTCACACACTCCTTCCCTCTCCCTACTCACACACTCCTTCCCTCTCCCTACTCACACACTCCTTCCCTCTCCCTACTCACACACTCCTTCCCTCTCCCTACTCACACACTCCTTCCCTCTCCCTACTCACACACTCCTTCCCTCTCCCTACTCACACACTCCTTCCCTCTCCCTACTCACACACTCCTTCCCTCTCCCTACTCACACACTCCTTCCCTCTCCCTACTCACACACTCCTTCCTCTCCCTACTCACACACTCCTTCCCTCTCCCTACTCACACACTCCTTCCCTCTCCCTACTCACACACTCCTTCCCTCTCCCTACTCACACACTCCTTCCCTCTCCCTACTCACACACTCCTTCCCTCTCCCTACTCACACACTCCTTCCCTCTCCCTACTCACACACTCCTTCCCTGTCCCTACTCACACACTCCTTCCCTGTCCCTACTCACACACTCCTTCCCTGTCCCTACTCACACACTCCTTCCCTGTCCCTACTCACACACTCCTTCCCTGTCCCTACTCACACACTCCTTCCCTGTCCCTACTCACACACTCCTTCCCTGTCCCTACTCACACACTCCTTCCCTGTCCCTACTCACACACTCCTTCCCTGTCCCTACTCACACACTCCTTCCCTCTCCCTACTCACACACTCCTTCCCTCTCCCTACTCACACACTCCTTCCCTCTCCCTACTCACACACTCCTTCCCTCTCCCTACTCACACACTCCTTCCCTCTCCCTACTCACACACTCCTTCCCTCTCCCTACTCACACACTCCTTCCCTGTCCCTACTCACACACTCCTTCCCTGTCCCTACTCACACACTCCTTCCCTCTCCCTACTCACACACTCCTTCCCTCTCCCTACTCACACACTCCTTCCCTCTCCCTACTCACACACTCCTTCCCTCTCCCTACTCACACACTCCTTCCCTCTCCCTACTCACACACTCCTGCCCTCTCCCTACTCACACACTCCTTCCCTCTCCCTACTCACACACTCCTTCCCTCTCCCTACTCACACACTCCTTCCCTCTCCCTACTCACACACTCCTTCCCTCTCCCTACTCACACACTCCTTCCCTCTCCCTACTCACACACTCCTTCCCTCTCCCTACTCACACACTCCTTCCCTCTCCCTACTCACACACTCCTTCCCTCTCCCTACTCACACACTCCTTCCCTCTCCCTACTCACACACTCCTTCCCTCTCCCTACTCACACACTCCTGCCCTCTCCCTACTCACACACTCCTTCCCTCTCCCTACTCACACACTCCTTCCCTGTCCCTACTCACACACTCCTTCCCTGTCCCTACTCACACACTCCTTCCCTCTCCCTACTCACACACTCCTTCCCTGTCCCTACTCACACACTCCTTCCCTCTCCCTACTCACACACTCCTTCCCTCTCCCTACTCACACACTCCTTCCCTGTCCCTACTCACACACTCCTTCCCTGTCCCTACTCACACACTCCTTCCCTGTCCCTACTCACACACTCCTTCCCTGTCCCTACTCACACACTCCTTCCCTGTCCCTACTCACACACTCCTTCCCTGTCCCTACTCACACACTCCTTCCTGTCCCTACTCACACACTCCTTCCCTCTCCCTACTCACACACTCCTTCCCTGTCCCTACTCACACACTCCTTCCCTGTCCCTACTCACACACTCCTTCCCTGTCCCTACTCACACACTCCTTCCCTGTCCCTACTCACACACTCCTTCCCTCTCCCTACTCACACACTCCTTCCCTCTCCCTACTCACACACTCCTTCCCTCTCCCTACTCACACACTCCTTCCCTCTCCCTACTCACACACTACTTCCCTCTCCCTACTCACACACTCCTTCCCTCTCCCTACTCACACACTCCTTCCCTCTCCCTACTCACACACTCCTTCCCTCTCCCTACTCACACACTCCTTCCCTCTCCCTACTCACACACTCCTTCCCTCTCCCTACTCACACACTCCTTCCCTCTCCCTACTCACACACTCCTTCCCTCTCCCTACTCACACACTCCTTCCCTCTCCCTACTCACACACTCCTTCCCTCTCCCTACTCACACACTCCTTCCCTCTCCCTACTCACACACTCCTTCCCTCTCCCTACTCACACACTCCTTCCCTCTCCCTACTCACACACTCCTTCC